ACACACTTTTCAAAATCATTATTGTAACAAATAATTCTTTGCAGTTAATAGTGATGAATTAGATTCTTTCATTGCATAGAAATATGAAGCTCTTTTTTTTTTCTAATTGTCAATTGTCAATCTATTTGATGTTGGCAGAGAGAAGTGATTAACTGTATTCATTTAAATCACAAAATCTGTCAGAAAACTGCAGCTAAAAAGCCCAATATTGCTCCGTGCATAGTAAACACTCATGACGGATTCAAAAACTCCAACTGGATTTATTTGTCATATCTATTTGATCTCCCAGTTATGCCGATATGCATTCAATCTCATTGTCATTTGTCAAAGAAGCCAATTGTAACGTTAATAACGACGGCAACTTGATATTTAAAATGTGCCAATCTTACCCCCAGCTCAATGCAGAATCCATATTAAAATGTCATTCCTATATTTGATTGCATTTATTTCTGACAGTGAATATTATCATCACCCTCCAGTCACTTTGATTAAAAACAAATAAGATTCCAATCAATGTGAGGAAGGCATATATGAAAGGAAACACTGGGATACAATATTGCTGTAAAACTAGACACAAACTCACAATAAAGCCCATCAAATGCTGTCAGCACATGGAAGCAAAATAATCATATAGAATTATGTGCTTAGCTATTGACACTTTCATTAAGTGCAATACTTAAAATGAATAAACAAACACTTTTACTTATGAAATTATATCTAAAAATCTTATCCAAGACACAAAATAGCCGGGTCAACATCACACCAATCATCATCAGCAAATCCTCTGTGTTGCCATGGCACTGGGGGTAAACAGCCAATGGCCTGTGATTTCCTGGGAGTCATTAGCATGGAATGGGTTTGCAAGCCACTGCAACCTTGTGACCTGGCTCCATAACTCATGTCACACACTGATGATGTCATTCATCAATGGGGTCCACCAGCGGCTCCGGCAAGGGGCTGCAGGTTTGGTGGGTGGAGGGGCAAGGGGAAGGGGCAGAGTGGGGAAAGCGATGGGGGTTGAATGGAACAGCCGGGATAATGATCGGGCTGTGGGATTTGACGACGGCAGCAAATAGGTGTCAGGAGAGTATGAAACTGATATATAGCGGGCTGGATGTTGAAGGACTAGACAGGAGTCGGTGTGGGCGAAAGGTGTGGTGTGGAGTAAGAGTCGTCCAGCAGTAGATGTGGTTATTGTGTATGGTGAAATGCCAAGCTGGGCTCAGGGGGGGTTTAAGGACCATACACAGCAGATGATGAAGCTACCTCAGCTTGTAATGTTCAGCAACCACAGGGGCCATTACATCCAGCACTATCAGAGAGCACAGAGCACATCACACCCTGTAATTTAGCCAGCAGTGGGTTACACACACACACACACACACACACACACACACACACACACGCACAGCTCAGTTCTCAATGACTGGCAGAATGTGATCCACCTGCACATGCGCCTGTGTTTGTGTTTATGTGTTTGTGTTGATGTTTGGCTGTGCTGTTTCAGGGTTGGGAGTTGGGCAACATGTGTGCGTCAGGATAGTGCACGCTCATGCCATTAACAGGCTTTAGCGTAATTAACAGGCCTGTTTCGATTGGTGACTGGCGCTGCCCAGACAACAACCTGAAGCTGCTCATTTCTGGCTCTGATTATTTATAGACTAGGCTGTTTTACGTTTTGCGGTCAATCCTCTTTTAATGATATTGGCCTTGGTGTTTGTAACTGAACATATTGAGCGGATCCAAAGCTAGTGGGGAGATTATCAATACCATCTTTGATCTTGCTCTGTGTTTGTGTTTCATCAATTAAATAACCATGTCGTACTGTCTCCTGAGGGCAGAGAAGGACATCTCCAGGAAGAAACACATTAGAACAGATTTAGAAGTCTTGAGTTTCTGTGGGGTTTTTTTCATTCATTTTATATTTATTCACAGATTCATCTCACGTTAACTCATTTCATATCAGATTTATTTCTGCTCATTGGGTGATTTACTAACATATTTTTTTACTGAGGCAATTAACATTAAGAGGTTACTCAGAGGTCTAAAGAGCCGTTCTCCAATTTCACGGCTCCTGCAGCCTTGTAACCACTAGGCCCACCTACTTCTCATGTCAATGTGTGTTTGTGTGTATGTGTGTGTGTTTGTGTGTATGTGTGTGTATGTCGCCATCGCCACTACACACCATTTTCTGTAGCTGAGATTTCAGAGCGCCATGCTTTAAGGAAAGCTGCCACAATGTAAAGTGTGGGTGGCCTGCAGTTGCAGCCATAAAGGGTACATGTGTGCGTGTGTGTGTGCTGGGGAGGGGGATCAGCAAGAAAGGCAAGCGAAAGAGTTGAGGACGGATGAAGAGAGGATGACGAAAGGTTATATACAATCATACAGTATGTGTATATTTATAAGTTTGCCTCTCTGTGTGCGTGCTTGGCTTATGTGCAAACGCATGCAAGTAAAGGGTTGCAGGAGAGGGGGGTGATCTAGTCTAGTCGACACAATGAGGCAAAGAGTGGGGGGAATGAGTGAGGGCTGAGAAGGGTATGAGCAGAACTAAATAGGATTTTTTTTTTTTAGTGTCATGTCTATGTGGTCGGAGTAAATCTCCTTACTCAGGGGTTTTGTGTGCGAGAGGGGCTTTAACGTCCCTACTCTCCTTGATGAGACATCTTTCTTGTTTGTTCAAACCATTCATTACGTGGTGGCTGCTGGACGAGCTACGCCGCTGGCCGGTGTATTTATCACCGGGCTAGAGCGCGCTCTGGCTGACAGCAGGCGATTGATGACCGGGTCTGGGCCTGAGACGCTGAGGAAGCCTTAATACAATGTAAATGACCCACTCCCATTTCCAATCTAGACTGCACCTCTCCCCACACCTCCATACCACATCATCTTTGGCTGCATCTCTGTTTGCGTATGTGCCTGTGAAAGTGTGTGTATGTTTGTGTGGTGTGTGTCCATAAACAAAGAGTGGGCGGGAGTTTGTGTACTGTGATATTTGCGAGCATGTTTTGATCATGATCGAGGTCATAGCTGATGTGAAAACCCCAAGGAAGCCCAGGAGTGTAAGGGGGAGGGAAAAAGAGGTTGCACTCCTCTTACATGTTGTTGTCCAGAGCCGACGTATACAAGCACACAAGTGTATGTATGTCTGTTCTTAGGACATTGTGCACATTGTGCATTTTCTTGTGCATGTTTACACACACTTTCATATGTGCACACACACAGACACATACACAGTAACTCATAGAAATTGCTCTGTCTCTGCTAGCCAAGGAAATGTCAGCACCTGGCAATCAAAAAATGTATTTCTATACAAGCATTATCATCTTTCCTTTGTTAATGATTTTAGCATATTAAAAGGGACTGCGTACACAAGTACAAATCAGATTAATCCCTCTCTGCAGCCGGGACTCATTATTTGTCCAATCTCAGCCTTGTTTGTTATTAATTGAGCACATTCCTCAAACCATTTTTTCATCTCTCCTTTAATTAAAATAGACTACATTTAGACAGCAGTACTACCTGAAAGGAGGAATCCTCCTCTCTGCTGATATGAAACCTCACTTACATCAATTATTTCAGCAGTAAATGAGAAAATAGTTCTTGAGCAACTGTTATCATTTCAAGTTAAAATTGAATTCAATTAACAGAAGCCAGACAGACATTACCAGCTCTATGAAATTTGCTTTCTCAATTAGTACGGAGGAGGAAAGGAGGCAAGAAAAAAAAAAGGGAATAAGTCTTGAGGCCAAAGGTATTTTCCTTAAAGGTGAAGAATGTGCGTTAATGGAGCTTGAAAGCACCTGAAAATAGGAGGATTCAAGTGTCGCCTTTTAAAAGGAATGTTTGTGCTGTGATTTGCAGGTGTCAGATGTATGAATGTTTGTATGTGTGTGCGTGCATTTCTGTTTGCACATGCTTGTGTGTATGTTATAACTCGGTGTGCATGCGTGCTCTCTGTCTACAGCGGCTGAATGAAACACATAGGGTCTCATTTGTTTTGTTTGCGTGCGCCCCGACTCCTAATCTGGCCCTTAAAGACATCTGTCACCAGCGATCACTGTTGTTTTGTCATGCTTCATAGCAGGCCCAGGGGGAGCAAGGCAGCCCAAGGTCTGCCATTTATATCAGCTCGTGTTGTCTAGATTGGACCTGACACAAATAGTATCATTGCAGCGCTGGTCGCAGAATTACATTTTCAGGTAAAAAATTTTGGCGAGGCTGTGGTCGGAGATTTCACAGCATTCTGTTCTTTTAGCATTAGTCTGTATTCAGCTGCTCTCTATGAAAGAGCCACCACCAGGATACATGCCAGACATTCAAGGAAAGATAAATGTATTCACTGCAAATCTGCACCCACTCATTCTGTTGCCTGGTATTATAAAGGGATTCTCAGACACCACAGTATCTGTGTTAGGCCTGCTGCAAAGTCTTGTTTGTCAGTGTATGCGTGTGTGTGTTCTCGTAAGTGTTTTTTAAATTTATTTATTTTTTGGTTTTTTGTTCCGTGCGAGGTGCATATGTTCAGTGTGTGCAATATATGTTGTTTGTGTGTGGGCGCGGTGGGGATAGGGAAGGGGGATATCACAGTTGACAGTTTTGACAAACTTGTTTGGCCAGCTCTGACAGGTTTTGCACTGAATTGTGGGTGTGTGTGTGTGCGTGTGTGTGTGTGTGTGTGTGTGTGTGTGTTTGTGTGTGTGTTTGTGTGAGTGGGTGTACACGTGTATGCTGTGAATGTCTATACTGTGCAAAGGAGGGGCAGGGTTGGGTGGAGGTCACAAGAAGGTGCAGTCTTGGGTTACACAATACAACAAACACGAGAACATATTGAATACATACAGTAACAGGCAACGGCTAGGAACCTGACTCGGAGCATGTGTTCCCTTTCCAGGGCTTCTCTTTACGAGTGCTTACATGCGTGAATATTTACAGTAATCTGTATGTCAGACAGAGGCTCATGTGTGTGTGTGTGTTTCTCTCTCTCTTTGCTCCTGCAGCACCCATACCCTTCTGAAGAGCAGAAGAAGCAGCTAGCCCAAGACACAGGCCTCACCATCTTACAAGTAAACAACTGGTGAGTCAAGATTTCCGCTCGTCCTATCTCCACCACCAGCATCGCTCTGCCTTTCATTTTCAAAAGCCTTCGCCTCCCTCTCCCTACCAGCCAAGACGGCTAATACTACTAAAGTGTGAAAACCGTTTATGTACAGCCCTCCCCATCGCATATAGACACACACAGAGGTGCGCACGTAGACGTACACACAGACAACCTTTGTGACATTATTATGTTTAAGCTACCAGGATGTTCCGGTGTTATCGGCAAAGTGTTCTGCGGCTAAGTCACTGGTCTTTGTGGTTTGATGCACATGTATTCAGTGGGATATATTTAAGGGAGAAAGGCAGAGATCATAAGCTACCCCTACAGCCCCCACACCCACCCCACCCCATCATCCAAAACCATACCTAGCACCGCCACTGGTGCCCGCACAAAAGGCAAAACTGCCTTCCACCCCCTCCCCGTTTTTACACCAGCTATATGGTGGATTAAGGTTTTGGTGGCCTGGCCAGCAGGGCCTTTGTAGATGGCTTAGCACATAACTGGGGGTGGTGGATTAAATAAAATGATCACAGAAGCAAAGAAATGATACAGGAATTACTTATCAAAATACTAGCCCAGGTTTTATCTGCAGCTTAATTTTGTTCTGTACATTCTCAGGGTGATGTTCAGATTAATTGAACTGACAGCTTCCTTTCAAAATTCCGGGAAGGTATTTGCACGGATTTCAGGTCTTACACAAACTTAATTATATGGAACCCCATTTTATCATTCTAATTCCATGTAGCGGGGGTTCTATTTACAAATGACAAGTCTGTGCCTTTTATTCACAGCTTTCCTTAATATATTTATCAAAGCGGGTTCATTTACAAAGTGCTCTATCTGTTGGGTACAGGCAGGCCGACATTAACGAAGCTTTTAGGTTTATCAGACTCACAGCCTGACAAGCCACCCGAGGGTCAATTGATTTTTTGGTTCCGTGATTCATTTTTTTCTCATTTTTCCTGGATCACAATGAGAAACATGCCTGGAGAATTAGCCTGGTTTGTCGGCCTTATCTATCAGCCCCCACCCCCCACCCCCCACCCCTCGTCTGCCCTCCCCTCCATCCTGACATACTCTCTCTCTCACTCTCTCTCTCTCTCTCTCGCTCCCCTCCTCTCTCACCCTTTGCTTTCTTCCCTTCTAGCCAAGGGAAGTCAAGCTACTTAAATTGGCCACAGGAACCGCTGTTATCAGACTTTAATGCACCCTACAGTGTGGATAGCATTTCAATTACACCAGTAACCAAAGATTAGCCCCCGCTTGCCTGTTTCATGCCTCGTGCCACCGTTTCGGGACGCCACGCACCTTACCTACAGGAGCAGAAAATTGAGTTGCCTTGCCTGTGTCATGGTGATTAATGCAGAAATAGTCTGCTAACCTGGGAGGAGAGAGAGAGAGTGAGAGAAATAGACAGAGACATAGACATAGACAGAGATAGATATAGGAAGAGTCCCTGCCTTCCCAAAGGCCGTGAAATCCAAGCCCGGGCACTGAAATGCCCTCAGATCCATTTATAAAGAGGTCTCGCACTGGGTAACATCCTCACGAACCCTGTTTCCACGCGCACATGCACGTACACATACACATAGGTGGACACGGGGTTGCGTATTAATGTTACACCAGCTGTGTTAACAAAAACACACCGGGAATCAATTTTCACAAATAAAGTCATTAGAGAGGCTTAGACTCGGCTGGTCTATCTCTGGTACATTCTGGGTGTTGTCACCACGCCTGACGGATGCTGCCACATTATTGGCTATTTTACGGTGGGGCACACAGATGAGAAATAGAGAGGATGCTGAAGTTTTCTTTCCACCCTGTATATTCTTACCCAGGCGGGACAGTGAGTTACAACTAAATGTGTCTTTGTTCTGCTCTTTGGTTTCTCGTTCCTCTGACCGCTGAGATGGTCCACCCAGGATATGACAGAACTCTGCCATATGAAATTCCTGTTTAAGAAAAAAAAAGCTCTTCAAATTCCTGGCTGGCCCCTTGCATTGTTCTGTAGTTCTCTTTGATGCATGGCTGCTGCCACGTTACTGGCCGGAGAGAGGGAGAGAGAGAGATAGAGACAGAGGGAGGGAGAGACAGAAGCAGAGGATGAGTGGGGGGAAAGGGAGGGGATGGCCGCCGTCTTCGGTTTCCAGAGCTCTCCCTCGGGGAAAGGATGTGCTGAATCAGGGCTTTGTCCGCCGGCACAATCGCAGCCCAGCGAGGGCACAAGGGTGCTCTGTGTGATAGTCAATAGACAGTGCATCTCGCTCTCTCCCCTCTTGCCCCATCACAACTCCCCACACCATACCCTCCAACTGACACCTCCCTTTACGTTTACCTGCAGCTCAGCTGTACACACAGAAAACAAAACCTATAGTAGACCACTTCCAGCTGCTTTGGAACCTTTTGCCTATGAATAATAGGAAGCACTCCATCTGGTTCTATATCTAGTGTATACCATTAGCTTGCAGCCTCACCTGTTTGTAGCCCACACCCCATTAACTGCTGATGTTAATAAGGAACAAAGGAAAAGGTTAAAGTCCACAATCTCACCGCACTGGTGTTGAGCAGATGAGGAGAAGGGCTTGATTATCCTGTTAATAGTATGCTCTGTGTGCATAAGTGTGTGTATGTGCACGCTATTCACATAAATACTAATGGGACACTATGCTCTCTCTGTATGTACAGAGATGTTATGTGTGTACAGTGTGTCAGGACACCATTAGTTGACCATTAGGTAGTGCGTTTGCTCTGCTTACATTTGAGACAACTGGCGTCATGTTAACAGAATCGGGGAGTGGTCTGGCAAGTAATTGCATTTGTTTAAGATTGTGAGAAAAGGTGAGGGCCATGTCACACACGGCATTCTGGGATAGTGAAGTAGGTGAAACGGCAGACTCAGGTGTCTGTACGCTGGAAAAGCGTTTACAGTTTACAGTTTCTAGCGGTTGTATTCGCCTGCCTCAGCAGCTCCTGGTGTCCTGCTATCAGTCTGGGCTAAATGAGGCCTGACCGAATCATTTCATGTCTCAGCGTCAGACCCAGCACGATGTGCCCTCACTCACTGCCATAAACACACACACCAACTATCCTGCCGTTATTTACCACTGCAGCAACGCACGCACGTACGCGCATATAACCGTACGCTCGCAGGGCTGTTACATGGGACCGAGAGATGACGCCGATGACAGATGACTGAGAGAAGCAGCATCTAAAAAAAGGAAGGAAATCGTCCGCTCATTATTCCCTCATCTCACAGGCAGCCAGTTGGTCATTTCCATGGCAGACAGAGAGAGAGGAGAGAGGCAGAGCAAGTCGGAGAGCGAATATGTCAGTTCTTGGCATCTCCGATGACTGACTGCTGTGCCACTGGAGCACTAATAACAATAAAGAGGGCACTAAGCCACACTCTATTTTTACTTCTCTGCCTCCTCTCTACAGCCCAGGGGGGAATACATGCATAGACACGTACACACACAGGCACACACACACACACACACACACACAGGAGAGAAGCTCTAATTAGCGGCAGAAAGGAATACAATGAGTGAGTTATTAAGACACAGGGGCGGATCGCAGCCAACCTTTGCCCCCTGTCGGATCACAGGTCACATGATAAGGGAAGGATATCCGCCAGACGACGGCGCCAAGTGGCCTGTGCCCACAGAGGAGATGAAATAGGCTCAATCTCTCCAGCCACGCAGGGCAGGGCATGGTGCACTGATTGTGTTTGTTTTATCTCTCTTTTTGAGAATCCCTCTCACCAGGAGGACAAACTCCACTAATAATAGACAGTCGTCATATCACACCATATACATCTCTATTTACATACATTTAGGTTTTAGATACTTAATCCTATTATTTAGAGACTTAGCAACGCTAGAAGCTCATAAGAAGCTCATGAGTCTAGACTTACAAAATAACAGTACATGTAAACAATGTGTTAGTGCCAAGGTGTCCCAGAAAGATGAATGAGAAAGGTGTGAAATAAACATAGATAATACCTGAGCTGCAAAGAACAGATTCTACAGTTAAAAAAGACGTACTCTTCATCAGTCATTACGCTCACATGCCTTTACAAGTTCTGCCTATCTATTTAGAATCCACATTCTGATCCCGCTCTAGCACAGCATACAGATAAACTGAGTTTAGCCAGCATATACTCTGAACTGACTGCTCTGTGGCTTTCTTCACAGCATGTTCCCCATTTCCATTCATATCCTCTTTTTTTTTTTTTTTTTCCCCCTCTCACTCCCTCCATGGTTCCCTCCAGACTTCTCAGAGTTTAAACCATCCAGCAGAGGTACAGAGAGGCGGTACAGCAGGTTCACATGCAAAATGTTATTAACAGTAAAGCACATTTGTTTGTAGTGTCTGAGAACAAAAAAAAAAAAAAAAAGAAAAGCCAAAGCCAAATTTGTTCCTCCACTTAGCAAAGCGTTTTCCACCCCTCTCTCTCAGTCCAATGAGACACTTAGAAATACTGGCTTTTATGATTTTTTATGATTTTTTATGATCCTCTGGTTTGGCGGGCGAGCCCATTATGAAATGCAAAATAATAACTAATATTTTCCAAATGTAACATAAAGCTATGAAACCGGCCCAGCTGCCTCTGTTTTTTCCACACTCTTTATAAGTATTTAAGTCTTATGAATCTCACACAGAGGCTTTTGAGGTCCTTTCCCCCGCTCCCTGCTCTCCTCCAGATCACTGCCTATTGCCTATTGCTTGTCTGTCCCTTCCTTTCTGCCACATTGGTGGGCTAGTTGACTGAAGTTGCTGGTTATCTGTCTAACTTTGACCCAGATGGAAATGTCAGGCCTTTTTTTGGCTGCAACCAGGGACTCCCGGCAGTGGCCATCTTATGCCCCTGGCTTTCTAAATATACAGCTGGAGTGTGGAGAGGTTGCGGCTGTGTGTGTGTGTGTGTGTGTGTGTGTGTGTGTGTTTGTGTGTGTGTGTGTGTGTGTATCTCTCTG